TCAAGCACCCTCATCTCTTCCTCTCCGTGTGCAACTTCCTCCGGAGTGTTTGGCATTCCAAACATCATCCAAAAACTTCCTGCAAAAGACAGGAGCCCCTCAATCAGGTAGATGTATCTCCACGGAGCCAAGCCAGAGCTGATCTTTGTGATTCCGGTACCTATGAGCCCTCCAAAGGCGCTGGAGAATGCAGATGCGGCAAATAGGTACGACACACGTTGCGAAAGCTCGGACTGGAAGTAAAAGTTGAGGTGAAGGCCTCAAAGTCCAAGCAGCAGCCGGCACGCTAGAAGTGATCCGTATCCATTCGCAAACATTGTGAAAGTAGACACCAATGACCAGAGCGCAACCATGCACCCAAGATACTCTCGCTTCTTGTCGTTGAAGCACCGCATCATCAGCAACACTCCCGGAAGCATGAAGGGCAAGTAGGTTGCATACACTATCGACACCGCTGTCGAGTGCTGTGCATCAGAGATCCCAATATCCGTGTTCATACCGGCAACTTTCGCGTTGCCAATATTGGATCTGTCCAAAGCGGAGAAGAAATACATTGCAGACAGGATGGGCATGATTTTCCAGTCCATGCGGCGGACCAGTCGCTTGTGAGCCGAGGGAAATGGGCATTCTGTGGAGACCAAAGGCGCGACCTCAACCACAACCCCAGCCCCCTTCACGGGATCCTCTGACTCAAGCATAAGTGACCTCAGATATTTAGCGAGCGTTTTATATCCCGAGTCAATAAGATTTTCTTATCTGACACGGAAAATCATGCAGTACGTTTCTGTGACAGGCGTGTATTGTTTCCCAATAGGAAATGCCATGGCAATCATGCGCTTTTGCATAGTTTACTGCACGGTCCTTACATTGAGAATCGGAATCAGTGTCCAGTTTCTTGTCAGATACGCAGAAGTGGAGCCTGTTTTCCGATGATAAGACCGTTATTTTGATATCTTCCAATCTCATTATTGATACCTAAATTTTTAGTTCGCTACTTGCTTTCCTTGCTACACAATTGTTTTCGTAAGCTCATCATGAGACTCGGTGATTTTCAGCTCTTTCAAGTATCTGTCAGACTCGTCCTGTTTTTTTGTTCGCCATTGTTTCCACTGACGCGCAGGAATCTTCAAAGCAAACATCTCGTCAATCTCTTCAAAGGAGCGCCCCGCGGTCTCCGGAAGGTAAAAGTAAAACACAAATATCGAAAGGAATGAGCACCCTGTGAATATGAAATTGATCTTTGATCCCATGTTAGCCTCGTTTGCGTTAAACATATACGGAAGAACAAACTGCCACATGCACTGCAAAGCATTGTTTGTTAGGTTTGCAGCCGCATAAGTCTTTGCTCTCAAAAAAACGGAAGACACCTCGGACGCCAAAATGTAAGGCACCGCTCCCAAGGCAATGTTGTATACGTAGTTGTACATTGCCATAAATCCTGAAGATGTTTTCATTGCCGGTATATTGCTTTTGTCCATACCCGTGGTGGCAATCAAAAGGTTCAAAATGGTTATGGCAACCATACCCCCAATCATTAGTGGTCGGCGACCGAATCGGTCAATGATGAACCAGGAACTAATAACCCCTGAAATAGACAGAGCCTGTGCACCACATGAGATTTGGAAAGATTTTTGGGTACCATATCCCGCGTATTGATAGTAATAGGTTGCGTAACTGGTCACATAAGAAACGCCACTCATTGCCTGCATAAATAGGGGAAAGATGACAAGCAAAGTACGACGCAAGTCTTTAGCCTTGAAACAGTCCACATAAGTGCCCGCTTTAGCCGATATCTCGCTAGCCTCCATGACGGTCACGTACATCATGGCGTATTGTTTTTGTATAAGACTTTCCTCTCGATACATCTTCTTTAAGGACGCAAGAGCCTGTTGACGTCTACCTTTGGAAAGATACCAATAAGCTGATTCTGGTATAGTTATAATCATAGCCATTGCAGTAATGGAAAAGATCCACTGGGGAATAAAGATACCTCTGTAAGCCATTCGTGTAGTATAAGTGCTTGTTGTGTTGTTGATAAGAACACAAATGAATGGACCAATGCAGAGAGCAAGTGCAATTGTAGCGGCAAAAAATCCTCTCAAAGCAAGAGGTGCACATTCAGAAACATAGACCGAACAACAAGAGGAAATGGCTCCCAAACAGAAGCTGTTGAAAAACTTTCCCAGGAAAAACACTTGAATGGAAGTTGCAATATATTCAAGTGTAATGAACGGCACGGTGAGCAAGACGGCAATAAACAGAGTGTTTCTTCTACCAAACCTATCAGCAAAAAATGAGCCTAACATCAAGCCCACTGCAAGAGCACCAGTAGGAGCACCGGTTATGGCAGACTGCCATTTGGCTTCTAAAACATAGTCTCCTTCATAATAGAAGCCAAAGTCTTCCCTGAATTGCGGAATGCTAACGACCATACCTCCGGCTTGATTTTCGTAGCCGACAAGGACCATCGACCACACACAAACAAACATGAAGTACACTGTCCAGGTGTAAGCCTTGGTTGCTTGCCACCTTGTAAGGTCGTGCTCCACTTTTTGCTGAGCTCTGGCAACCTGCATCAGGTTGTCAAATTCTTCCTCACTTACAGGTGCTTGCTGATCTTTTTTAGTCTTAAACATGTTTCTCTTAATCTTAAACATGTTTCACTTCAATACAGAATTCCACAATTCTCAATCTTCAGTTAGACTAAAATAATTCCGTACAAGAGTTATATTATGTCTGACACTGGAGCTGATTTCCTGATCTTTATATAAACCTGCGGTGCTTAGATCAATCTCCATATGACGACTTCTAAAAAAGTCAGAAAAATTCTGGGGAAATTTTTTGTGGGGTACATCTCGCGAATTTGAAATTCCGAGATCTGTGACTAGAATTTTGGCCCAAAATGGAATCGGACAAAAAATAGGACGAACTATGGAGCCCAATTGAAGAGAAATAAATGCAAAGGGGCCTATTTTACAATAGATCCTCAATAAGAACTCCACACGCATTGTTTATTTTATCGGCCCTTTCGTCAAAAAAACAATAGCGCAACCCCGCAATCTGGGTAACCTTAATTTTCACCGTGTACGTCGGAGTATCATTGCACCGTTTATCAGGTTTTAGTCTTTCAGAGTGGGGCATGACTCTAAAGTTATTTCTCTGTCCACCCCATGTATATTACTATCGGTTCGACGAATATAGCGGAGACATTGCTTCAAGGTGGCTTAGTACTCCACCCCGTAATTTTCACTAGCGGATTTAAACTTGTCCGAACTGAAAATTGGAAACCCACAGCTTTGCCATTTTGAACTATAAAGCTGCTCCTCAACATTCACTTTTTCTAGTATTTTCAAAACACTCTGTTGAATACTTCGCTGATTGAATTATGGTTGAAGTTGTAGGAGTTCGACTAGACTCAAACACTCTCGGACCAACCAGTGGGTTGATTGCAACTAAAAGACCAGTCATTTCCTGGGAGGTCTTTGGTAACGAGAAAAACTGGTATCAGGGTGCTTATCAAATCAGGATAAAATACGGGGCCGAAACTTACAGCACTTACGATGTTGTCAACTCTGACAATAATTTGTTTGTGGAATGGCCTGGAAGAGACTTGAAGTCAAGAGAAGTCATAGCTATTTCGATTCGTGTTGCACCAAAATCTGATGTTTTTTCTTTTTCTGAATGGAGTGAGCCCGCAGTCGCTCAAGTTGGAATCTTGGATAATTCTTGGAGGGCTCCATTCATTTCCATGGTTGGGCAGCCTAAGGATGAAGACGTTTCACCAGAAATATTATTCAGGAGAAATTTCGATTTATCGGCTAATAAAATCAAATCTGCTAAGATCTATAGTACAGCTTTGGGGGTTTACGAAATTGAAGTCAATGGAAAAAAGGTTGGACAAGACTACTTAGCACCTGGTTGGACAAGCTATGATCATCGTTTGCTCCATCAATTCTACGATATAACAGACTTGCTTACACCGCATAGTAATGCTATTGGGGCTAGAGTAGGGTCTGGATGGTATAGCGGAATGCTTGGTTTTGACGGCGGAGCCAGAAATATTTATGGTTATCGAAGAGCAATTAGTATTGAGATAGATGTGGAATACGAAAATGGTGAAAAAGCTGTGATTCTTTCTGATGAAGCTTGGAAATCTAATTATGGTCCAATTAAAGATGCACAGCTGTACAATGGTGAGGTTTATGATGCAAATGACGAGTTTCCAGGATGGTCTCTCTCGACCTTTGAGGATAATTCATGGAGCCCGACTGAAATCATTCAATGCACTTCCAAATCAATTGAGCCTCAAGCCTTTGGTTACATATGTGAAATTAATACTCTGAAACCAGTCCACGTTTTGGAGACACCAAAGAAGAAGCTGATTGTTGATTTCGGTCAAAATGCAGTTGGCTTCCCTCGCATCAACAATGCCAAGGCTCCAAAAGGGCACACCATTACTTTGAGATTTGCTGAAGTTTTGGAGAATGGGGAGCTCGGCACTCGTCCCCTGAGGCTGGCGAAAGCTACAGACCAGTATACTTTCAAAGGTGATATAGATGGTGAGACTTATGCTCCGAGATTTACATTTCATGGAGCAAGATACTGTCAGATTGATAACTGGTATGGAGAGTTTAACCCGAACAATATTGAATTCGTCGTCATTGGAAATCAAATGGAGACAACTGGTGGTTTTGAATGTTCTGACAAATTGCTAAACAGGCTCCACCAGAACGTCGTCCATAGCATGAGAGGCAACTTTCTAGCCATACCGATGGACTGTCCACAAAGAGATGAACGTCTCGGGTGGACAGGTGACATTGCCATATTTTCTCCAACGGCACTTTACTTGTGTGATTGTTACTCGTTCCTTCAAAGTTGGTTGAAGGATTTGAAACTAGAACAGAAAGCAAATGGTGGAGCGCCCGCTGTTGTGGTTCCAGATATCATCCATGCCTTCGAAACATTCTGGAATGGTAAGATTGCTGCTATCTGGCAGGACGCTTCGGTTATTGTACCTTATGAGCTTTACAGGTCTTCTGGAAACAAACATATTTTGCAAACACAATACGAAAGTATGGTTTCATGGATTAACTACATTCCTAAAATTGAGGGAAAAGTTAGATGGGATAAAATTGAAGCGCAGCTGGGCGATTGGTTGGATCCATCTGCACCACCAGACAATCCTCTTCTTGCATTGACGGACGCCTATCTGGTTGCTGATGCTTTTCTTTTCAAGATACTTACGATGACTTCAGAAACTGCAGAGATCTTGAAGTTAGAAAAAGATGCAGCTTACTACGCTGAGCTCGCTTCCAGATGTCGTTCTGATTTCCACGATGCTTATGTTTCCTTGTCAGGGATGCTCACATCAAACACGCAAACGGCATATGCTCTTGCTATCTGTTTTGGGCTGTACAACAACGATGAACAGATTTGCTTTGCTGGTAACCAATTGTCCGAACTGGCTAGACAAAGTGACTATAAAATCAGTACCGGATTTGCTGGCACCCCATTTGTCACTGAAGCTTTGACTGTTACAGGACATATAGAAGACGCCTACAAAATGATATTACAAAAGGAATGCCCTTCATGGCTATATCCAGTTTCTGTGGGTGCAACAACGATCTGGGAACGATGGGATAGTATGCTGCCTACAGGAGGCATCAATCCTGGTGAAATGACCTCTTTCAATCATTAT